AATATGTTTCCTCAAAAAAGTTGCAAACTATAGTACTAGATGTACTAGACTATAGTTTTAAAATATTTCGAGTATTTGTTATATTTATTTTTTAGATCAATGTTTATATACCGATGTTTAACTAGTTTGATTTTCTTGCCATACATGATACATTTAACAAATATATAACTTATTATATCTATAATGCATATGCAATTAGCGACGTCGCCTGTATAGCAAGCAAGTCAAACACTCGAACTGCAGAAATAAAAGACTATAACTATAACTTTAATGAATAATGTGACGTCGCCCGTAGCAAGCACGTCGAACTGCACAACTTGTCAAATACATATCATATAATATACTGTATGTTTATATCTGAAACACTTTTTTATATTTTTGCCATATTCAACGTTTTTTTTAATTTGAATATCATGCAGTTAGTCAAATATTTAACACTCCTAGTTATTATTGCATGGGCTGCCTCTAATGATAATGGCCAAAAGTGCCACCGCGAAATTAAATAGTGTACAAACGTAACAGCTTACCTTTAATCCTCAATTGGTCTATTGTATTCGCTACAACACACTTCTTAACCGTCCTATTAATATCCCATACCTTAAACATAGGCATCTCGATTTGTCGCAGAATGTAAAATAACGAATTAATTGTTTAATTTTCTATAAAAGATCACACTTTTTCAATAACAGAAGGGCAATTGCCAATGGTTAATAATAGAAAGCCATTTCATGTACTCAATTCACAATTGTTACATTTGTTGGCGCCTAAGCGTCTGCGATTGTGCACCAAATTAAATTAATTATATGTTCGTTTGAAGACTGATTTAATATTCTTTTTGCTTTCGGACAGTTGTTTTTTTCGTACAGACTACAGTTGTTTGTTGGCCAGTTGTTTTTTTTTATAATATAATCATCAAAATCAACGCTAAAGAGGTTTAATTCGTCTCAACAAGAAGTCAGTTGGAAGGTTGCATTCTGAAAAACTTTCCGGCCTCGGTTAAGCGTTGATGAAATATTGATATATACCCTGTCGACAGGAATCTTGGATAACATCACTGGCACTGCAAAATTCTTAAATTAAGCAAAGGTATGTACGGCAGAACGAATATTGAAGGCTTTATACCATAATGTTATTAATATATATCATATAGACCATATACATGTGCATTTTAGCCTACTATTTAAGGAGCCGATAACCTCGCCGATAACCACGCTTAGCAAGTAAAACTTGCGGGCCAGCCCGCTTACTATTTTAAATAGTACTTAAAGGATACCGAATCACGAATGGTTTTCCGTGCATGCAGGATTGCGTGATCCTAGCCTGCGTAGCAGACGGTTTTTAGGGGAGGTTTTTCCCCCTGCCGCCGAAAGTTATTCCCGCCCTAATTTTCCCCGCCCGCAACCTCCCCTAAAAACCGTCTGCTACGCAGGCTAGCGTGATCCATGCACAAGGGATGTCGCGAGTCTTTCGCAGTTTCGGAAAGCGTAAATTTTTACGCTTTCCGAAAGTCGAGAAACATCCCAAGTGCATGGCCATGGATCACGCTATCCTGCTTGGAAAATCATTTGGTAATTGTTTTATAAAATAACTGCAGTGAAACAATGACATTTTGAGAATCCCGCGAAGGCATTTTAATTCCTCGTGCATGATAGCATGATCGATCCTGCACGGCTATTAACCAATCAAATTACGTGTGTCACTGCATGTAGTTATTATATAAAAGTCTATATATTCTATAATATTGATTATTGAGTTTTCCGGCGATTACAGACCACAGTCACTCATTATCGAGCCCGTAGCTGGCTCTCAATTTCTGGGGGGGGGGGCACTGCAGAAAGAATGTAACAGAGGAGTTGGGATGATTTTGACTTTCGTGCTAGCAGCTAGTTTTCCTTTCCAGCTCAGAAAAATTGGGATCGAACTGAACATTCTTCTACACTGTAAAAGTATTATACTTGTGCTCAATTTTGTGAATCTTCAAAGACAAAGTTCTGTATAGGGTTAGTTCAGCCGTCTGCTATCTAGCCTAGCTTCTAACAATGAGGTTATTTATTTTAGGCCACAAGCCATCTATTTTCATACAAAAATTGAGTATGACAATGAGCCTAGAGTATTACTCTTATACGGTCGCTGTAGTACTGTATATCATGTTTCACAGCCGTTCAATCATGGAATATTGCAAATTCATAATTTTGATTGGTTCCTCAACCATTGATATAATCCATGGTAAAGAAAAATACAAAACAAAATTACAAATCACGCACTATTTGTGGATATTTTTATCTAAATTAATACAAAAATATAAAATTAACCTAGCCTCAGCATATAGTAAGAAATTAGGCTATACGCCTTTGTTGACTTTGTTGGCTTGGATATGACAGCCTACCCTGAGAGCAGAGCCTGATTTCCCCTCGCGTAGAAAATAAGGCTCTGCCGTTTTTGTGTTTAATTTCTGTCCAGCATGCTCTGTTTCCAATATTATGTCAAAACATGTCAAAGATCACTTGTATTTTTAGAATGACTGCTAAATTTAGAGAACCAATCACATGCAGTTATCGCCACATGCTGGGGACGTGCAAATGCACGTGCTGTACAATAACGACAATTTAAAGAGTGTATCTAAAAGTCGAGGGTCGAGAGTCGAGAGTATAGGTCGAGAGTCGACAGTAAAAGTCGAGAGTCGAGAGTAAAAGTCGAGAGTCGAGAGTAAAAGTCGAGAGTCGAGAATAAAAAGTCGAGAGTAAAAAGTCGAGAGTCGATCGAGAGTAAAAAGTCGAGAGTCGGCAAATGTCATCAGAAACAACAAAGTCAAAATATTTTTAACCACGTTTAACACAATCTATAATATATAGCTTTACATAGCCATTCCGTATAACAAGTACCAACGGCTGAAATACAAACTTTCCAATAAATATTGCCAGGGACGCCGGAACTGGGGGGCAGGGGGGGCGGCTGCCCCCCTTGCCTTTTGCTAGGGGGGGCAGGGGGGGCAGAAGTGCCCTTTTAGTTGTAAAATAATACGTGATAAATCACATTTCCAACGATGCCTTTTGTAGGAAAATGACGAGATTCAGGTAATTTATAGTTTATATTTATAAAAATTTTGGGAAATTTTTGGAATTTAGAAAAATATTTTGAAGAAATGGCGAAAATTTTTTATCCGGAAAAATTTTTGGCTTCACGGAAAATTTTTGTATGTCCGGAAAAAATTTTTGACCCCTAAAATGGTACACTGACCGAAATTTTTTTGGCGTGAAAAAAAATTTTTCAGTAAAGGTGCCCTTGGTGTGCGTCCGCCCCCCTTTGCCCTATTATCGTTCCGGCGTCCCTGAATATTGCTACAACAGTCAATAATAATAACGTGAACAAAAAAGATTGGATAAGAAAATAATATCGCATTTGATCCTCAATCTTGCTAAATGTTTTCACATATGATTTCATTCTAACTGACACATAAACTCCGCTGAATTTTGACAGCCATCTCCACTAGGCTTGTAACTAAAATGTCACTTACGTTTTATATCAAACGAGAGCGTATTAAGAAATCCACGTTGATCACAATCTAACGATTCATACAATTGTGAATTCATAAATACGAGCCAGTAAAAATAGGATTCTTTTGTCGTACTGTGTGACTCTATCGGGTGGTAATATGTCTCGCACGTGTTGTAAAGTCCTAGTATTTATATGTAGCTTCACATATGAGTAATTTTCGCGGAAATAGGTGCATGTAAAAGCGGGAAGGATGGACAGTAATATATAAGGAAGCGATAAAACTAGTTATTAGATAATAGTTATTATTATTGAATGTTGTGGCTAAATTTTCAGTTGCGAAAGTTTTTGTTTTATATTATACTGGATTATTCCTTTGATTGTATATGCCTCTTGTTTACTTTAATTTCGAGAATTTGAGCATACTAAACTATTATGTTTCGCAAATATTGTTTGCTTTAGTCTTTATGTTCCGATACACAGGAAATGAAATTAGTTCAGCCGTCCGCATAGGCGTACGGGCGGGAAAAATCAGGGAGCCAGAAAGAAATTTACCCGACTTTTACAATAAAATTTTCCGTGTAACTAAATTTCCAAAATTGTCGTTGGGAAGTAGACAAAAATATTTTCCTATTTGTCGATTCCTCGTTACTTTTACATATTTCTGGTATTTTCAAATACTATATTGCATATACTGTCTTCTTTTTAAATTTATTACCCCCAATTACATTTTTGCCCGAATTTATACGTTTATAATTTGCATGATTTTATTTTGACTGGGGGGCGGGACTGCCTCCCCCTGGACTACATACAACTCAGTGACCCCAATGACACATCTCTTTCTGAATACAGACTTAGCTTTAGAAGATAACACAGATAATAAGTATATCTATAGTGTTAGAAGAACAGGGAAGGCATCAACCTTATTAAGCCTGTCGTATTTTGAGCCACAGACTGTGCAAAGAGTCTACAACGAGCTTTTCCTACTGCTGATTAATCCCGCGCTTGACGAATGCTTTCGAAATCCCAAAACTGGTAGGTTAAAAGAGCATTTCGTATTCATTGTGGATAACGGACCATCAGAGGCACCATCCAGCCCATTAGTCAGAATGTGGTTGGCACGAATTGCTAGAGTTCTCAAGTTAAAATCGGTAACACAGAAATCATTTGCTGAATACCACAGTAAGCGTAACCCAGTTGAGCGAGTACACGCTGTTCACAACCGTGCATTATCAAACGAGGTATTCTCAAGCAAAGGAATTCACAAACATTTTGAAATTGGAGACGAATATCATCTTGAAAACATGGAACATATGGCAAAGGAGGTAGAACAATGTTTAGCTACCACACAATATGGCGGAAAATCTTGTGTTGTTCAACGTGGACTCGGAAAACAAGATAATTTTGTTTTTGATGACGAATTGCAGCTTGTGACATTCCTTGGTAAGAACGAGTGTCAAAAGAACTTGGACGATAATTTGTACAAACCAATTCAAAATGATCTTTGGAAAGAAATTACTATGCTGTGGGATCTTGACGAAAATATGACAGGAAGTTATCGGAATGACTACCAAATATTACAAAATGCTTTCCACGAAGAAGCTGATCGTACTTGTTGGACTGATAAGTATTCTACAACAATTTTTAACCCAGATTTTCAACATACTGCAGCAGACATGAACGCGCATACAATGCAACCAATCCCAGACTACATAAGATGGTTATACATACAGCTGGAGAAATACATTACCTGCCGTTAGAAAAAATGGAAAAACTCGATACTGATGTAGTGGATGAAACACCGGGAGCATTCCTTCCGTCCAAGATACTCGAATTAGTCATTAAAGTTTTTCGTCATGGATTGGACCAAGTGTTGTCAAGCCTTTGTGTCCTTTGTTGGTGTTCCGAAGAGGAGATAAAAAGATTCGAAGATGAATTCCGAAACAAACTAGACACGTCATTTACAAAGGAGAAAGAGAGAGCGTACTGGTCACAAGATGATTTATATAAGAAAAACGACAAAGCAAAGCTACAATCACTGTGTAAGAAGAATGGTATAAGTTCTGATGGGATAAAACATGAGTGCGTGAAACGCTTAGTTAAAAAATTGAATAGAAACCCACCTCCCGTTCTTGAGAAATATGATGGTAAACTCTTCTCTTTACCGAATTATGTAACGGAAATTGCCAAATTTTCTGTTTACAAGCTTCGTGAAATCTTACGATTCCATAACATATTGGATTGTGGCACCAAAGACGAACTCGCTATTAGAGTGGGAACATTAAGAGCAGGAAGAACTCATTTGGTTTTTCAGAATGAGATCCATGCAATTCAAGATATTATAAACGCGACGAAAACACTAATAAGGAGACAGAAAGAACATCATCTGACAGATCCTGTGGTTATTCATAGAATCAGAAAGTTCTTAACACCAACCACTGCATCTCTGAATATGATACGTCCAAGAGACAGTGCATCGGCATCCGCCAAACAGAATGGAAAACGTTTGGAAGTTCCGGAAGAGGTAACGTTAGAGACCTTGGATGAAGTTTTTAGACCTATAGAAGATGAACTTTTGGTTTATATTGGCGTAGACAGTGTGGAAAATGCACCTGAAATTGTTGCAGGACTTTTGGATGCCATTCGAACTGTTGGTGTAAGGATATTAGCACGGTGGAGTAAAGAAGAAATTGGTGATTCAGGATGGAAAACTGGTAAATTCTAAACAATAATTGACTTATTATGAAATTATTATAAATGTTTACTCTGTCAATATTTTTGATAGGTTGGTATGTAGGGTCTGTGTTGAAACACAATAAAGAACGTGACACAATAGAAGTAGAGTTTGACACAGAAGCTAATGTTATCTATACGTATAAAGTGGATGAAGATGTTAAGGCAAACAAGATAAGGCTCGCTCAATCCACTAAACGAAGTATTCAGGACTATGAAGAAGTATGCCAAGTTGGAGTAGTGGTTGAAGTCATGTTGGAAGAAGATGAACTTGAAGATACAGACTGGACATCAGGTACTAATTAGACAATAATTACAAGTAGTACTGTAGTTTTAATTACCAGTGCCATGACAACCCTGTTGTATTTCAACCAGATTACTTAAATAACGACTTTTTAAACTTTTCTCATTCAAGGCTGGTACACTGCTGAAGTACAAGCTGTTGATTACGATGACGGTGAAGTTGATCTATTTTTTTTAGACAAGCTAGATTTTGTATATAACATCCCAGTATTGCCAAACCTGATAACAGGAAAACTTCGGCTGAAAGAGAAATTATTTTAGTTGTTAAAACATTATTTTATAAAGTTATAATATCGAAACAGGTAGAAATTGAGTTATGTTTTCTTTAAATTATTGGCTGTAATCCAAATAAGCTCTTAGATGCGTGCCAACATTGATTCAGAATTTAATTTTTCAGGTAATTACTACTTCCACAAACATTATAAAGAACCTTGCATTTCTGTTCATATATACAAGCATTAAAAACGCTTTACTGGAATGCTATACTATAGTCCCGCATTGTTCATATACATGTATATGAAGAATGCTGGACTAATGTTATACCATATATGTAACCAATATTTAAAGCATGAGTAGGAGTGTGTACCATCTATCGTCTTCATCCTCCTCTCATCCGTACTTTCTAACAGTCCATTTTACTTCATTTGGGTGATAGAGTGAGCCGTGTAGAGCTTCTGATCAACCATTTAGTATTTTCTGTGATCAGTTCATGTTACTTTACAGTCAACTAAATTTTATGCCCTTTGCTTTCATGCCATGATCATCTTTTCCCATCAATATAAACCGATTCACTACATGCTAGCGAACTGATTATGAACTTCTTAGTTATGATATATAGAAATATATTACAACAGAGTGTCACACGTTATATAGGCTACATATAATTTGGGACTGGTCATAGAGTAAGGGTGGGGGGTCATATCTGTGATGTCCGCTTTTTTGATAGCCCACCCCTTAATAGCTGTACATGTGCCCGCCCTTAAATTTTTGCTGGAAAATCATAACCCACCCTTTCAGAAAAGCGAGATGTATCAGCGTTCTATTTCCCTGTTGCCGAATAGTGTGGCTCTCTAAAAAATTGAAACTCTAAATTTCTATGTAGTAACGAATTATGGACTCTAAAGAATGTCTGCATCTTTTCACATGACCCACCCTTTCCTTGCCGCCAAACCTTTCCTGACCCACCCATTTAACCATGCTGAAAAAGGATGATCCCCCTGGCTCCCCTACTTTTTCAAGCCCCTCCCTTATATTTTATGACCAGTCCCTTTATATATTAACAAAACCGTTATGAATATAAACATGATACTGTATGATTGTAATTATGAATATACATCATTATAAGATTATAAATATATTACAAACAATCAAACGTATTATTAAAAAATACCAGATATTAAACGTGTCAAAAACACAAATAGATGGCTTTATTCTATATTCCCCAGAGGTTGGGTTTATAATTATTGTAGAAACCCTCTAAAATTCTGAGGGGTTGGCTCTCAAAAACTTTGTTTCTGAGGGGTTAATATTTTGTATGTAAATTTCTTAGGGGTTGCTTTTCATAAATGGAAATTTCTGAGGGGTCAGAAAAATAGCAACCTCATCCATAGGAATTTCCGATGAGTATGACTGTTTGAAAAAAAATTCGGACGGTTGTCTATGAAAATCCCATTTCTTAAGAGTAGGCGTGTCGAACCACAGTTGATTTCTGAGGGGTCTCAAAACTATCAGACCTCATCCATAGGGGGGTGTGTATATTAAATGGAATGGCCCTTTCTGTGGTGCGTTCATTGCTCTGTATCTTTTGCGATTATACCTAATTATGAGATGTCGATCATCGTAGCTTCGTCGAAAAGTAAGTACTTTTATTTTACAAACTACAAAGTCGTATTTTGAACATACTATAGATGACTTTCTTTATTTATAGATAGGACTATTCCATATACAGTAACATGTACCGGTGGTAACCCCCCTATCGAGTTCAAGGTTTTACTATATGTACCCCTGAAAAATTCCTACTGTAACAAAGTATGTCCCATGATGGTTTCCTGTTAATAGCAGTTACCACTTTAAAAATAATTCAGCATTTACCTATAGAATTTCAATTTTTGCCTTTGACCCCTGATGAAATCTCATTGAAAATACCCAACACCTGAAGAATTCCATAGCCAGGATAATTTGTTTACTTCTGAGAAATTCCAGGGCCAAAAAGCAACTTACCCGAAATGAATTCCAAGTTCATTGATATAATGCCTCATAGAGACTCAAAAAGGATCGTGCACTGATTTATACTATATCTTATATATCCCCGGGCGTTCTCACACGCTCCCGGGCGCTTCAGGGCACTCCTGGGCGTCCCCGGGCGCTCCGGGCAGTATTTAGTACTCGTGACCGATTATATATATACATATATACCGTTCGGCCTTTAGGTTACCTAGTGTCCTTCACTAGGCTAGTGAGAGGTATTCTGTACTTTTGCACTCGCCAGTTATCATGAATGTATCTTTGATAATAAGATCTAAGTTTGATTTCATATACAACATTTAATGGCGTGTGATTGTCTAAATTGACTGAGTTTCACAAAGAAACACATTGGAGAAGATGGCCAGAAGGCTGCCTTAGGATTAATGTGTTGTAATTCATATACATATAAACCCCAAATAACCAAGCCTCATTAATACTGGTGAGAGATGGCGCCCTAACAGCACATGCCCTTGGTGTTTGTGTACATGTATTTATGAAAACAACATGCAAGAAACTAACAAATAAATAAGGAATAGAGTAGTATGGACGACAAACTCAAAGTGCAAAATTGGGCATGCTTGTGTGAGATTATGCGACATTAGGCGACATTAAGCAAATAGACTGTCAGGCAAAGTTAAAAAATTGGGTGCACATGGGCGAAAGTGGGCGAAATTAGGCGACATTAGGCGAAATTAGGCGACATTAGGCGACCTTGGCCCCCAAAGTAGGCCTTCTATAAGCAAATAAACAAGGATGTAATTTGTGAGTTGTGCCAGGATGTTCACGACACAATGCTTGGAATTGGCGGCAGGCCGAACATTTGACAATTCTTTGTTTTTCTTACTTCAACTTGATCAATAAAACAAGACGCTCTATTGCATTTAGTCACTGGGTTTATTAAAATAGAGACCTGTTCTGACTATGATAGTAAAAGCCTGCCCAAATTTGACAATATAGGTGCAAGTAAGTCTAAAAGTATGCAATTCGTTGATTTACACAATATTATGTTAGTAGCACTCATGACATGTCACTGGCATAACACAAGCTGCTGGTTGTGTATGACGATAACCGATCAATTTTGAAAGCATTATATCTAACATCTTAATATTATAGAGCTTACGATCTTACGATCTATGATAGCATGCAAACAGAAGTAGTTCCCAATTTGTTTCTTTAACTCATGCTCGTGTGCGAGTTAAAATTTGGTGACTATCGACGTCTGCTGTTCGTCGACAACACGAGATAAACCGAACTTCGGTAGAACGTGAACTTTGGAAGTCGATTGTAATTGTCACAGTCTTTTCTTTTCCTCCCTCACGTTTAATAACAATTAATTTTTTCCTATCCCATAACTTTCCCTCTCCGTCGGTTTGTTTACATCAGTTGTGTCAATAATTTGAAACATAAAATCCTTTAAACCAGAATGCCCCTCCCCGAAAAAAATGTTCGTAGAAATGCTACCCACAAATAGTTTTGTTGCTTTGCCCATACCTATATGTAAATAACTTTTGTGATTGTTAAATCTTAATCTAACCGACGTAATGGTACAACCCACATATCGCATATTACACGCTTTACAATTAACTAAATATAAACCACGCCATTCGAATACACCCTTTAGATAATTACGCCACACATACTTTTTGGTCTTGGAGCCTCGCTCTCATTAGTAAATTACGCAAGGTGATTGGCTCACGATTCATGAGAGCGAGGCTACCAGGCCAAATTACGTACGTAATTATCGGAAGGGTGTATTACAGTTGAAGAAATGATTAATGTGGAATGTTCTACCCTTAGCATAACTCCCACAAGATGAGCGAACCAAAACATTATCATAAACTTTGCAGTTCCTACTTCCACACTTAAACATCCCTCCGACCGTATATTTTTCCTTTGGGAACTTAGATCGAACCACGTGATCTTTAATGTTCTTACATCTACGAAAACATATCGATAGCTGGTTCTGGCATAACGTTTAAAAAGCCACCAGAGAAACCTACAATTTTTTCAACTTTTTACAACTTCTTAAAATAATCCAGTGAGAGGCTCATCTGATTAAGCAGTCCAGAATCCAGATATTTTAGAATTGTCATCTTTATTTTATATTCATACACAGAGGGTTTTGACAAAATTATCGTTTTACCGATCACACTTGCTATATATTAATTTTAACGTCCTTATCCGAAAAGACACGAAAGTCTATTCTGATCCTGATGTCAATGCATGTAGGTTGCATGCACTTTCTCCTTGAACAATTCAAGATCTTGAGCAGAGGTCCGACCAAGGATTGAACCCGGGTTTCCCAGCCTGGAAAGGGAAGCCGGCGTGCAGACCAGGCATGACACCACAATTGCCTGTTCCTCTTGGTTAAATTTTGGTAACATGCATTCAAGAAGTGCATGGATAGCCGTGCTTTTTGCGCAATTTGATTGGTTGCACAGCTCTGGAAATCCTTGCGTAATTCGCCTTCCGAACCAAAGCAAAAAATGTCTTCCCGTTTCGGTTCCGGCTGCAAACCCACCTCGCAAGCCAGACTCTTACAGAGGAGCACCTTTTTTACCAACGAAACTGCGGTTCCGCCAAATACAAACTAAAACCGCAACGTTTTGCTCAACATAGTGTAGGAGTATTGTCATAAAAGGCTATTTCTAGTGAATAAAATTACTCCATCTTATAAAGAAAGTATTTTTGTAAATTTACAAAATTACTATTGGGCTGCAAAGGCCGATTTACCCTACACAAGTTTTGCCCATATACCGTCGCATATACAACTTGTTTACAACGTGAGTTGTACTGTGTAAATTAAGCACACAACTTACCTACGTTGTTTTCATTTTATCTAAATTGCACACGAAACCATCCTATTACCTATACTAACTAGAAATACATGCATGCAGTAACCCCTCGCCAATATTTTTCAAACATTAAATTAACATGAAGTATTCAGAAATGGCCATCACCGCAGGCTCGCGCTCAAGTGTTGCCATGACAACACGATATTCTTAAATTTTTATTTTCATATTTTTTGTACAAAACTGCAAAATAGCTCGCAAAATAGTTGAAAGATTCGTACTTTTAACAATACAACAATAAATTTCCGAAATATATACCGATGCGTAGGTATATGAGGGTCTTAATGGGGGTCTTTGGGTGTCAGTTGTCAGCTAAAATTTAAGCCAGTTGTCAGTTGTCAGTGCGATATATTGCAAGCTGTCAGTAGTCAGTTACTGCAAAAAAGCTGACTCATCATTTTTTTATCATTTCTCAGTTGTCAGTTAGGATATTTTGTCAGTTGTCAGTCAAAAATTCAGGCAAATGTCAGTAGTCAGTTAACCCCATTCAGACCCTCGTATATTATTTTGCATTTTGTGAGCTTTGATTTAATGAAAAATTTAACTTGAAACGCTTCGTAAAATGTTTTGAAATGTTCATTCAAGTAAACTACATTTTGCCGATAAATTGTTTTTACTTAACGAAACATGATAAGTTTAATACAAATAAAACAAATTGTTAGGTAATTTCAGTTCAGTTTCAAATCAATTTGCATGTTCGCCTTTATATTTTAAGGCTTTTCTCAAATTAATTAAACGGTAATTTATGAAACTTGGAGCTTCGTTGAAAAGGAAAACAATTCACTTTTTAGGCAAAAAGTTAAAGCAACAAAATTCGTAAACATTAGATATTCAAAGCAAACTTGCAGTATAGTTCACGATTTCCCGTAGTAAATCAATTCTTCTCATTTCTTCAAACAAAATTGCTTCAAGCTTGTTGTATAGGAAACGATTTTCCAAATATATGTCTTTTAAAATTGAAATCTTGCTTATCTCACTCCTACAAGCAAACAGCCATATTCTTGAGATCAGTGAGGATGACCAACCACTCAAGATCGTTGGTGAGCGCCCGCGATGATTGATGAATTTTTGACTTCGCTAATGCTTTCGTTTTCCCGGGTGTAAATAGCCGGGGGGAATTAGTACCCTCGCCCCGGGCTTACACCCAGAACGACGCTCATCGCCGTTGGCTAGGGGATGATATAATATACCATGCAGTTAATATACCAAATCTACTTAGTGTTCTTTACGTAAACCTTGAGGTTTCGTGATTCTAAGTTTTCACTCACAAACTAACGTTGTTCTGAGTTTTAAATTCACTCACAAACTCGGTTGAATTAACATCTAATTTATAATAATGAAATCGCTACCCAATATTATTAAGCAATGTATAGGCGAATAATGTATACAATTTTTATCAGGCGGGGTAACGCTTGTCCAATGTATCGTATTCGGGCAGAGGATAACCAAATAACTCGTGGTCTGTTTTAAAAGCAATCAATAATTGAGCAAAGTAGTTTCGGGAAAGTTCTTTAAGAAAATTTGCTGTTTCTCGTTTTGTTTTGGTTAGCGCAGCGCTGGTGTGCATCACATGATACTTGGTTTCATTTGCATGTATCTGTTTCATAGCATGGGTCACATCTCGACTGAGATTCTCGATAGAGCCGATGAAGTCATAATTCACCTCACAAGGCCTGCATAGGTCTTCGTATGGTACCCAATGCTCGTTGACCTCCCAAGACGGATTGTTAATCAAATAACGCACATACTCCGTGAAACTCACATCAAGTCCAGTTATAACTGTTTTTGAATTAGTATTATTAAAACGATATTTCTTTATTATCCGTTTTCCGAGAGGTGCCCAAAATTTGATACTGTTGTTATGTTGGAATTTATCTCGGTAGCCAGACACAAGCCGCTCGAAAGGATCTCGTACAATCATGAACTTGTAGAAATTTTTTAGCATGTACTCTCGTTGCGTTTCATTGAACTTTTTATTTGACAAACGTACGACTTGTGTATGCACCCTAGGACCATTGACTTCTTCTACACTTGGATACAATCCATCCATAACCGCAAATATACTTTGTATGTTTGTACAGCTAATTTTAGGTATAAAGCAAAAAAGAACTTTGTGTTCTTTGTTCACAAGCAAATGATCAAGCACGTTGCGCCTTTGCCGTGCCCTTTTTCGGTCTTTGCTATCAGCTGGCGGTTCCATGACATTCGTTACATTATATTTTTGACACACTTTAATGACCGATTCCCTCTTCATTTTGCTATCCTTTTCCGCCTGTACAAAGAGATTTTAATGACATATTATTATTGTATTTATACCCTTAGTATTCTGTATTATATTTATTTTATCAAATACAAGACAAGGAGCTAATTAGCAGCTGTGTAGCTTTCAATCTAGCTCTGTTTAAACTAAAAAGTCTGATTTGACTGCACCGTTGAAATCATGCAGCATCAGATTTATTGTGTATAAATAGGTTTTCATCACCGCTTGCCCTAGAGCAGTCATAATATTCATTTTCACCGGAAGTCCGCAGAGAATGCGAGCCTGCGGTACTGGCGGAAAATTTGCTGAATAAGACCAATTTGCTGGATCAAAATCCTAGCGTATTAAAATTTCATGTAGTATAAATGGCATAGAGTTAAAAAGCTATCATTCCATAACGTGTCTAACAAATTTTATTTCTCCCCTGCACATATTAAAAAATACTACTGTGGCGTACTTCTACATGCACATTGCACGGATGTCCGACAAAAATGAGACAGTTGAGTTTCGGACTTTCACATGGCAAAATCTTGGTACACCTCGAAAATTATATCTAGTATAAATGTGTTTGGGGTTGGTTTGAATGAGGCCTAAGTTGCGGTTATATAAGATAGACTTTTAATTAAAATACTTTAGAAAAGGTCTTTATTATTATCTATTCGATATCTAAGCTTTTATCGTCAACGACATCATTAGTGAGGGAGATGCCAGTGTTCAAGTTATACAGCCAATTCAAAAAAGATTGTCCTTTGCAAACCTTTTCCAAACTCTAAACCTTAAAGATGATGTCCACTCATGTGCGCATGCGTGAACTTTGTTTAGGTTTTGAATCACTTTATTCGTAAAATAAAACACTTTCCTGGTTCGCTATGCTGGTAAATGAATATAAACTCTACGTTTCAATTAAAAAAAATTCGAAAGATGCCAAAGTTGAGCAATGTTTATATCTGCATGGGGGTCTCCCTTTGTTATGAGCAGAACTGATGTGCAGAACGAAGTGGAAAATCATCTTTAAACTTTAAACTCAAAGCGCGCAAAGCTTAATGGGAACACAAGTTTCAAGTTCAGAAGTTAATTATTACAGCCATTTGTGAATGAATTGTTCGCTTGATGAGATATTTGCCATGTCTCTAAGAAATGTGCCCCATATATGATTTGTAAAATGATTAAATGATGCTCTCATTACGCTTTGCATGCTTAGAGTTTAAAGTTTAAGATTTAAAGTTGAATTTAAAGTTTGCAAAGGACAATCGTTGATATATGTTAAGAAAACTAGCATAACAGGTTACTGAATAATGATTTCGGAAAAATTTCCTCGGAAGAGGAGGAGAGGGGAAGTATGATCTGTTGCATGTCAACCGAATTCGCATCCAGAATATAATTCGCGCAATGACCAGGCCAGCATTGATAAAGAGAGGAGAAAAATTGTTGCGAAACTCCATTCTTACGTATACCTCCACGTCCAGACACAACCTCATTTTCACTGGTTGAGACACAACCTCCTTTTCACTAGACGTTTTGTTAACTACACAAGATCAAAGCAATGCATTAACTTGGTAATTACGGTAAATTCATTCAAATTTAGCCCTCCTTTATAAAAAGGACTATTCATTTTGGACACATTTTTTTCGGGGTGGGGGGTGGGGTTCGGGTTGGAAAGGGAGAGAATTACTAGATCAATGATGCTCCGCATAGACATGTCGTCTTGATAACCACATGAGAGTAAATGAAATAAACTTAATGTGAGATACAGTATCTCCTATCAACTTTGGTTAGAAAATAACTGAAAAATATATCTATGGTGTTGTCAGCGTCATATACTACTAAAGCCACGTGACCACAATCAGCCAATCACTTTAGCTGTTCACCCTAGCAAAATAACAAAAAGCTATATCGAGTCTTGCATTGACCAGTGTTTAAGGAGTGTACATACTGTACTGTATAATGGTTCACTTCGCCCTGATCACTACGTTCCACAATAATTTCGCGTGTGTTCAATTTATTTCCCGCCTGCTTTTCAGCTGATGTGGGCTTGGATCATTAAAGTGAAAGAAAGGAAGGAACATCTTCTGTCGATATCCACATAGTCATGCACTATTTAAGAAATGGAAAACGAGTCGAGTGCGTTGATGGTGTCATATTGTCATAATGCACGCGGGGAATGTTGGGAGAATACGAGAGAAGCGTGTAAAATACGAGGCGTAGCCGAGTGTTTTACACGCTTCTCGAGTGCTCTCCCAACATTCCCCGAGTGCATTATCACACGATAAACGCACGAGACGAGTTCGTCTATTTCTTTTATAATATATAAGCAGAAGATATTACATAGTAAACAATTTTACTCAATAGATCAACTTTGAAATTCTCCTAACATGTACTCGGTGACGTCACGCGCATGCTCTTACTGTCGCTGGAATTTTCAAGAAAGCGAAGGAGAAAAAACAATACAAAATTTTGAGAAAGTTTTGATGCTAAAATTGCGGAGAAACGGTTAAGGTTTAAAATGCTGGGGGGGAAACCCCAATAACACACAGACTGATCTGCTAATGATTTTTAGCATTTGGGCTACCGGATTTGCCATGAAGGACGTTAAATTCGTCGTGTTGTTCAGTTTCAATTTTTGAAATTATTGTATTTTTTGTCTTTTGCCGAAAATATATCTAGCAGTTTTTATCAGAAGCATTGAAGGTACTTTCTAAATCACTTATGTTCAGTTTTTGTTGCCTTTTTCCTATGTTTTTGTTATTCCTGTATCTTTTTCAAGTTTATCTCGACTATTTTGCACAGTTTTCTCTTTTCGGAACAAAAACAAATTCGACGAAGGCCAAGTCAGTTAATTTTTATACTGTTTTTACATGTAGAACTATAGATAATATTGCTTTGTTCCTTTGGTCTATTCCTTCTTGCTTTCTGATACATTTTGTATTTCAATTTAAAAGCTTTATAGTTCTATAGCTGTTTATATTTGGCTAAAAAGCACAGATAAAGCGGGGAGGGGACACAAAAAGAGCAAGGCAGTGCCACGGAACACATTCCATTATTGCGTCACAACGCACGCACATTAGCCAATCAAATTGTCCGTTATATCCCACTTATATTATAATTACAATCAAAATTTTACTTGAAAACAACATAAAAATTTCCAAAAAAGTTATCACGCAAAAAACTTTTAACTCGAACAATATTTTTAATTGTGATAAAATTACTTTAAAGCGGACAAATACAAAAGTCGATAACGTGTAGAAAGCTTATGTCGTCATTTTTTGCAGTCTGCAAGAAACTTGAGAGTATCTCTAAATGACTTTTTAAACGTTTAGAAGTTTTATAGAATGGATAACAAATGTTTTAACTCGTAGTTGCTGTATTAAAACATTAAAAAAACTTAGCTCCGTGTCTGCTAGCTTTTTGGCTCAGTAATATTTGTATAATTTTGAAATTACTCTTCTGTGTTACAATTGATGATTTCCCTTATTACGTTTTCGTAGCGCTTTGCATTGTTGTTATAGTGGTATCATGCACTGATAAAGATAGCGCCCTCGAATGAAAATATTGAATGTTTTCGCCAATATTTTGCTGTTCGCTATCGCGCACCAGACGCAAGCTTTTTTTAAAAGTTCTTGCACGGGTCAGGACAAAAAAATTAGCCATCTTGAATATCAGTGATACCACTACAACCACAATGCAAAGCGATACGAAAACGCAACAAGGGGAATCATCAATTGATTTGGCACGGATGATCGGGTGACGAGAGTCTTCGTTTTGCCGCGCTCTACTGTAAAATGACATTGCGTGCATTCCAGGTATTTCATAATTTTATTAATGAGTATAATTTTAATAACAAGGAACCTTTATCATATCTGCGATTAAAAAACGCCGAAAGAAAAATAAAAAAAGAGGAAAATACAAAAGAAATGAATGTTTAATCAATGTTTGTAAATCGAATAAAGTTTGTCCTGATTTACATAAAATAAAATCTCGGCTTAGACTATGTTTATTTTTAAAATTACTTCGGCAATAAACTCATAAGATGGGTCGCTTTTTAAGCGCGATAAAACATTCGCATCCGATTTTTATCTGATATACAAACTCTCGCCATCGGCTCGATCGAGTTTGTATATCAGATAAAGATCGGCTGCTCATATGTTTTATCTAGTACTTAAGGCTGGTCCGTATAACTAAACTATGCGGCCTATACATACTAGTAAAATCGGCATAGAGTACTTTGTTATTGAGTTAACAAATCGTTGATAAGATTTTGCTGTTGTCTGTTCAGTTATAATACACAGTATGACGTCATAATCTGGGAAGCACAAAAAAATCGTTCTAGAATGATAGCTCTTGAATTCTTAACGTTATTATATAATCTTTTATAGCTAATACAATAAATTGAACTAGTTAATGCTTTTCTGATATGTTAATGATAACTGATACAGTCATCATTATACCAACATTTTTTTTATTAAACGCGGTGTCCATTCATAATAATTATGATAATTCTCAAAGCTGTTCATAAATGGGGCTAAAATCTCTGATAGCATGAGTAAGCTGTACACATGTATATATTATTATTAATAGAACAACACTACAACTAATTAACCTAAACTTTAAACCTCATTCTATGATAATAAACATCATTGAGGACTTACCACAGCCGACTATGCTGAAATCCTGCTTAAACGTTGTCCATTTAAAATCATAATACTCAAAGCCGGCAATGACCAACACGACAAATACACTTACAACCAACATTTCTCTGAAAATACGCATTTTGATATAAGATCATTTCAAAGTGACGAAGACCTTTCTTATAATAATGACGTTAAGTGAGGCAATTAAAAAACACTTAATGCCTACCTCCTCCAAAGGCCTTTCAAGAAAAAATGGTGCGAAACGAACCGAAACGCCTGCTGACTATAATTTCCCAAAATGAGTCACAAACCAAATTATATTTAATATATCATTTTACCAGAACAATATTAATTACTGTTAAAATCTTTAACTACTTCTGATATAGACCGCTTTTCGTACCGCCATATACATAAAAACAGTAAAAAGCATACAATGATTTATAAAGAGAAGCATATAAAATTCAGTTTAGAATTTGCATATTACAAACACGTAGGGCTTTTATGTGACACGTCGTATGTCAGGCATGCGGTCGTTTATCCACGAAATTTATTCCATTTATATTTGTTTTTATACAATGTAACTATTCAAATGCGTGTGCATATAGTCAAAACATCCTGTTTGGCCAAATGATAGATTCACAACGTCTATATTATCACTGTCGCTTGTGCTTGTAAAACCCTCCATTATTTGAATCTCCTCGTCGCTTTTATCGGCCATAACTGCCAAGATGTATTTAGGGACCGGTCATGTTGGAGGATAAATGAAATTTCAAGTACATATTTCTATACCCTCCCAAAAACCTATGGGAAAATTTTCGTAACCCCCTTCAATGTAAGTCAAAATTTTCATACCCAGTCCCTTCAATCATTAACAGGTTCTAATGGTGTGAGCTTGCTAGCATTGTCATTGACAATTCAGATGTATCAGATTTGTACTCCAAAAGGTCCACGGATACAGAATCCTACTTATCATCAGACATTGAGTCAGACTGAGACTGAAACATATATACTTTGTGTTGATTCAATAACAATTATAGTAAAACAATTCTTTCCAAACTTAAATCTGGGCACAAATGCATTCAATATTCAACAATAATTATAAAATGTAATTTTTCCGTACCTATAGTACTAAGATTTTGGTACCCCCCTAGAGGTTCTGTTGTTTTTTTCGTAACCCCTCAGAGGTTCTGGGGTTTTTTCGTGCCCCCCCCCCCAATATCCTCCACACCCCCTAGTAAATGCTTTATGACCGGTCCGTTAGAAAATACTCGCAAAACGGGATTGCTAAAGATTGGCAGACAATGTGCCATATTTTGTTAGAAATTTGATCCAACCGAGTAAACGACACTATAAGCCAAGTAATGGACATGTTATTCAGCAGGCCTTACAGCCACGTACGCACGCCTTCGTCTCAAATTTCAAGCTGTGAACGAGCATATACTCATTACGGGCTGTGTGGCCTGCGGAGGTGCCACAAGGGAGAATTTTTAGCGGACATTCAAAATGCAAATGATGTTTTCATAAACTGGCTCGCCAACGACTTGTCCTGTCCCGTTCAAAAAGTCATTTTGTGAGGATTTCAAAGGTAGATTTCGTTAAAGGGCAGAGGGGGAGGAGGGGGGGGGGGGATATTCTCTGATATATTTACATTAGAAACAATTGAATCGTAATAATGCATTTGGGACTTGACGAGAAAGAGTTTTAAGTTAAATTAAATATGATTCTAAGACAGCTGAAATTGTTGCGGTAGGTGTTTTAAACCTCGGTACACAAATCAAGGATAGCTTACCACACACTAAAGTAACCATATCAAGCATAATTGTCCGTGCGTTGTGACCCGAATCGTTCACCTTCATTTAGCATGTCTTAAATCTGAAATATTTCTACAGGAGCTAACACTTTCAAGCACGTTGAGTTCAAATCCGAAAAGTTCCCTAGCTCTCCCTAGACCTGCAGTTTTCTGATATAAAATGTAATAACAAAATGTTATTTTATCGATGACGTGACACGATTATGTCACTCAAAAGGACCAATTTCTATTAACCAGTATTCCTTTTAACGAAAGACCGGTTTTTCTCGATCGAATCATTTTGAGTTACGTAATCTTATGCGTGTTGAACGTAAACAACATATCTTGTCTACAACTTTGAGAAAGTACAGCCAGATAACGCTTTCTAAAATCCGCAGTTCTAGAGATATCTCTATAAAATCAGAAGCACACTAATGCGAAGTCTTTTGGCTATGTCACTAGCCTGAAAAATAACTCTTTTAAAACGCGTCAAGGTCTTTAAAACAAAAGTAACGCGATGCCAACGTAACGGCAAATAAGACAACGCTAAAATGAAATATTGTCGATTGGTTGCTGGTAGAACACTTACGACAGGATCAATCTTAATTAAATAACCTTAAACTATACGAATGAATGTTCACATCAAAGACAAAGATCAGTCCCAAAGGATAAAATATGCTCGGTAAACTTACGACGAAGTGGAGAAACGTGTGCACAAGCTGTTTATTTGGTGATTTCAACGTATATGGAAGCCCTGTTTCCAACAATATTCGCTTAAGTTCTTTGAATGTTTGCATGGCGATAAAATATAATTGTTTTTGTTTGTGGAAACACCACGTAAATTTATTACTGCAGCAATATTCGCTTATCGCACAGCATTACACCAACTGATGTAATAGTTCAAATGCAATGATAAGTTATCTCTTGAATTACGTCTCGGAAACTGTTCTGGAAATTTAAATGTTGATCCATAACATAAGATTACCGTATTACATTTTTGAATAAAACATTTTGATCGCATGTAAGGAATTATTTCTCAGCCCAGAGACATAGCCTAAAGACTGAACATTAACGTCCTTGTGATTTTATAGAGATAGAGCCAGAACTAAGAATTTTAGAAAGAATTATCTGTTCCTTCTCAAAGTTGTAGACAAGATAATTATGTCGTTTATGTCCAACATGCATAAGATTGCATAACTCAAAATAATTCGAGCAAAACCGGTCTTTTGTTAAAAGGAAGACAGGTTAATAGAAATTGGTCCTTTTGAGTGACGTAATCGTGTATTGTCATCAATCCGTGTCGTTGAACAATGAAAAAATTTGCTGTGAAATTAGTGAAGATAAAATACCAGTTTCACTTTGTGAGAAAACTGCGGGTCTACGGAGCGGGAACTTTTCGCATTTGAACTCTGCGTATTCGAAAGTGTTAGTTCCCGTAAAAATATTTCAGATCAAAGACATGCTAAATGAAAATTGTTTTCTAGGCACTTTTCGAGGTCACAACACAAGTAGTATTGGTAAGAATTATAGCAACCATTCATGCCATTGATATACACCCACCCAACTGGTATAGAATATTTATTTCAATGAACCCAGATTTTCCGACTGTTAAGGGTGATCTTAAAATACATATGCTGAATATGGTCAGTTTCCGTAAACATATTGAAGAAATCGTATTAGCTGAAGAATGTCTCGATATTCTAGCTCTAAATGAAAGAAGGCCGGATGAAAGTATTTCTAATCAGGCCGGTGTTTATGCAAAATTATGATCTGATTAGAATGGGTCGTTCAAAAACAGGGGGAGGTGTCTGTATGAAAAAATTCTATTAACTGCCTTGAACGGAAAGACTAGATATCTTATATACACTAGATAGTGCATCTAATTATTGTTGGAACGATTTATAGACCGTCAAGTGCCTCTGTCCTCTGTTAAAGAAAAAACTTGAAATCATAATTAAGTATACCACACAAAAAGCCCTTTGTAGCTGGCCTAAAACAATTTGCATAACAATATAATATCTGGAGGCCAAGAAAAATGTGTTCTTTCATTGTCTTCTGTAGTTTCGAAATCCCACAACTCTCCATGTTATTCGGTCAAGTATTGTTCTCAACTATTTTTATTCAAATTGAAACAATAGGCGAAAACCATTAGATTTACCTCTGGGTTTACCCTTTTCAGTTCCTGAGCGTGTTTAGTTAAAATGTTGTAAAACGTTGCAGAATGTTGTAAAATGCGGATAATATAGCCCTGCATAGTTTGCCATTTTTCAGTCATTTTGTATTACGCACGAGAAATTGATACCGCTTTTAAATCGTAACCTGATGAAAGACTGGTACCGAACGTTCCGGCCTTGAGACGTATGCAGTGTGACACATGGAAGTGTTTACCTGAATGAAAACAACAAAATACTAGTCGCAAAACAATAGCTTGTATATTTCTCCTTAAACACGCAAAAAAATGTCCGATAGCGAAAGCTTTGAATCACAGACAGATACAGAACAGTTAGTCAACAGATTACGAGCTAGGACGTTCTTGAGCAATTGTCTGTTGTACCGCCCTATCAGTTCGAGCCAGTTGCTGATAGTGATAATGACTATGAGGAAGACCGCAGACGAAACAAACGAAGGCGGTTTTCTTCGAGAAAATCTTGAGGCAATGTTTACGAAAACCGTAGCTGCTAGTTCATGGTAAGTAAGTTTAACAAAGCAGTCTAATATTAAAGCGTTTCTTCAATTATTTATTAGCATGTTTCGTTTGACATGTGAATTGATTTTACGTGCACATGCATGTGGGCATTGTAGTGATGTTTTGTTAGACGACGCGAGGGACTGGTGCTGTAAAAGAGATTCTGGAATGTATGGGCAAATTTACCTACGATGGAAAAGACGCTTAGATATCTTCGTGCAGTGGCGTATCGGTGGATAGTGAGATGTGGATATTCGACATGCTTGGATGGCAGAACAGCTCTGGATCGCTTCCGGCATGACTGTATATAGATGAAATCAGGACGAGGTATCCTTCTCAAAGCACCACTGGGAATAAATAATCACAGCAAAGAACATGATATTAAACAGGTGTATACTAGCTACGTTACGTAAACTAATATAACTTGTAAATTATAAGTATAAATCAAACTAGTTCTATCAAATAATGGTTTTTCATTTGGACTCTGTCGTGAGTATGATCCACTAAGAAGTATAGTGCGCTCGGTGGTTACGCCTGTTGTGAAAACATAATTTCTTGACTGATAAGGCGAGAAAGGAATTAAATTAATTAATACGGGCTACGATAGTTTTCATTTGACGCAGTATCCAAAACCAGTGACTAAGGAATAAATTGCGCGCAAACGGTATATAGATAGCTACGGCACGTTTCAGCAAACGCAAATGGACGAAAACATGACACCTGAAGCGCAAACAAGCGGAGGAGCTTTCCTTGTTTAAAATATTACGTGCGAACTGAGGTACGTAATATTTCAAATCCGAATATGAGGACTGGACTAGTCCAGTTCGAATTGGAGGATTTGAAATGAAATCTCATGCGAATAAATCACTATTTAATTAATTCTGATCCAGTCCAAGGACTGAATTATAATTTTGATCCAGTCCTTGGACTGGATCAACGTACTTCATCAGGTATCCAGTGTTATCATGTGAGCAAAATGAAGCAATATGGTTGGCTAATTTACTCATGAATTATTAACGAGTTTGAGATTTGTAGTTCCTATAGGTTTATAGTAACCTGTATTGCGTTCTGGTATACTCAACTTCGCTTGCTTCAATTAATTTCATTTCGCCTATTCTGTCATAGTGACGGACTGTATACTGAATTCCATAACTATATCCAACTATCTACAATGATCTATACAACGAAAATGCCTACAATATACCACAAGCCCACAACTAACGACTGCACATCTGAACAGCGTCAATTTAACCTACACTGCTACTATACAGCATTGGTTTCACATTTCGGCGCCCAGGGACGCCGGAACTTTGGAGGGGGCATGAGAGGCAAATTCCCCCTTGCCCTTTAGCAGGAGGGGCAAGGGGGGCCAAGGTTTCCTTTCAATTTAAAGGATTGCCTTGGCGAAATAGCGAATTGTCAGAAATGTTAGTGCAATTCTTTTACGAATTTGCTTCAGAAAACACAGGAAATGCAGTCATCGAGCTTCAAGAATAGCATAATCGCCTGGTGGAGAACCCCCCTCACACCCCTATCATCCAATAAATAGAAAACATAATTAGGCGAAGTTCAACTCCCGATGTTTTGCAAACATCTTAGTATATATCAATTCAAAAGTGCCCTTTCACGAAAATCTTCCCCCCTTGCCTTCACATCGTTCCGGCGTCCCTGTCGGCGCCTTATAAGCGATAAATCGTCGTATGGTGATATCATTGCATTGATTTAACCAATGATAAAAAAATCCAAATTCAACGCAGTTGAAGCTACATTGTTTATAGTATTTACAGAGAGGAAGAGCGCACTGCGCGGCAACACTGTGTCACACTGTATACGTCATCACAACCTTTTGGCCGCGCCAGGAATTTCATCAGCTAAAATTTTCATAGCCCAACATTAAACTAAGAATTCACAAACTTGTATTTCGAAGTTTTCAACAAAGTTGATATTAAAATGGTCACAAAAGATGAAATTTTCAGATAATGCAAAAATCAGAAAATCGTAATTTTCATTGCATTACACTTTTATAATACTTGATGTAAAGCGCATTTGCAAGATCGCATCCACATGTCAATTTGCGTTATAGAAATGTTATCGTACATAAATAAACCTCGACATTCGACAAATCTGTTTTTAGTTTGCTTAATGGACCATTGGCATTATAGACTAAATTTTGATCTACACAAAAATTTCATCACAGCTTGAAAGAGCATCAAAAAATTAGTAATATTCCGAAGTTTCGTTGCGAAATGTTGTAAAATGCGGATAATATATCTTTGCGAAGTTTGCCGTTTTTCAGTCATTTTGTATTACGCGCGGGAAATTCACAGCCCAATCGTGTGTTGGGGCATCAATTTCCCGTTTGTAATACAAAATGACTGAAAATTGCAAATTTCGCAAGGCTATATTATACGCATTTTACAACGTTACGCAACGAAACTTTGGAATATTATTAATTTTGTGATGCTCTTTCAAGCTGTGATTGTCTAGACTTGTTTAGATCAAAATTTAGTCTATAATGCAAATAGTCCATTCATTTTATATTCATGCCGCTCATTGTATAGAGATAATTAAAGCAGTAAATATCAGGATTTTGGGTATATGACTATCAGAATTTCCATCTACACAAAATATCCTTTTAACAATTTGTTCTATATCGAGTGAGATGCCCCATTAAATCCTGTTATTATACACTCACGCGCACTTAACCAATCAGTAATCGTTGAGAGGGTCACGTGCCGATCCAATATTTTACGATATTGGACAGAAACTTATTGGACAGTTGCAAATTGTGGCTTTTTCATGGTTTTTCAACTCTTTTCAGATGTTTTGTCAATTTCAAACATACGACAAACGATATGGCAGAATAATGAAAGAATTTGGGACATTAATACAGTTTTTTTGTACCAGTTTTGTTTAAAATTATAAAAGCGCGGGAAAATCTGTCCTCGCAAAATTTATTTGTTTGTAACAGCCTAGAATTTAGTAATATTATTTTTTTCGTTAAAATTAGGTCAAATTTCCTTTAAACATACATGGAATTGAGTTTATTTATGCACACATATTTGTAAAAACAGGTTTATTAACTTGTTTTTTTAGTTATTTAAGCAAATTCGCCGCCGATATATGTAGTAATGTTGTCGCTGTATTAGTCTCGCCGTATTTACTTTATCGTTTATTGACAATTTGTGTTATAGAATTGTTTTGTTCGATATAATAAAACTCCTATTGGATTCATCTTCGCCCAATATGGCAAAATATTAAGTCTCGACCTCAATATTAGGCTCGACCTTCGGTCTCGCCCAATACTGAAGTCTCCACTAAATATTTTGCCATATTGGGCTCAGAAGAATCCAATACGATATAATATTTACCCAAACACCGTACATTGGCATCAAGTATTTATACATGAACTTGTGGTTAGAACTCGACAATATAATTGTCTCTTTGCAGCTCAGTTGGTTAGAGTGCTGCACTCGAATCCGTGGCGTAACGAAGGAACAGGAGGCCCTTAGGCATATTTGGTGTGGGGGACTCTGTTGTCATTGTTTGACTGAGATATTATATTTATATTGAATATTTATAAAATATTCTGGAAAATTCCATGTCTATAACAATAACAGTCTCCAACACATGTAACAACTAATAAGAATGACATTTGTTTTACTTGAGATGGAATTAAAAAATCAGCTACCGTTGTCGATGGAGGGTTTATTATTTATAGCATTTATATTAATTTTGCATTTTCCCATTGATTCTTAACCTGCATTTTTTACATTTTCTAATTTTCTGGGCGATATGCCGTGGGTGATGGGGCCCCTAATTGTCGGGGGCCCCTTAGTTTTTGAACTAACCCTACCAAATGAGCGCTACGCCACTGACTGGAATCGCAGAGCCGCAGGTTCGATTCCTACCAGAGGGCCGGCTATAGTTGTATTTCGTGCAACCTTACTGCTTCTGGTTAGGTCTAAATGAATACAATTTACACCAGAAATATCCATCTGCCAAATTCTTCAACACTTTGTTCTATCGCATCGACCGGGGGCATCTGCCCCCCCCCCCCCATGCCCCCCGGCCGATACGCCTATGATAACATTAATTTGGTATAGTCTATACTAGACCAATTCTAGTAATCTTTGTATCAAAATTCATCTGCTATATAGATACAGGACATGTAAAGTTGTCCTTCAGCAGCATATTGAAATAAATGTGCTTGGGGTTAAATATCATCAGCAAGTAATTCGACTCCATTCGAGAAAAAAAACCACGTCGCACTCCGCACTGTTGAAGGACAACAATTTGTCATTGATAATTGACAAATGGCATTTTAATTGACAAATATTGAATACAGTTTTTATATTTCCCAACCGGTAGATGCATGCATTTAAAGAGGTAGATTTTTGTAAAAACTAGAAAATATAGATAAAACGAAGTATTTTTGAGATGTACGCCAACGCTTTTCATTGCAAACACGTTTAAACATGATTAAAAACGATAGTAAACATGATTAAAAACGTCGCGAGGAAATATTTTTTTAAAAAGACGAAGTAAAATTAAAATATCTTACCTTGGTAAACAGTCAAACAGAAACAATTAACGTGTGCTATTATACTTTGTGCTTTAGGTCTTCGCTTTCTAGGTTAGCAAAGTGTTGCCATCTTTTTATCGGTTCTTAAATCAGCGTTTTCGGACGTTTTTCAACTTTTTTCAATATTTAATATTGTTTGTATTTTGTCCGGCGCAATCCACGCAACCCGCGTGAAAATTCCCCGTGTTTCTATAAATTATAGAAACACAGGTTTTTTGAGCCTTTGACCAATCAGCGCCCGTGTTTTTAAAAGGCTATTTTATAAAGTATACCATGCATTTAATATACCAAATCTACTTCTGAATAGTTCGTGTTCGTTACATAGACCTTGAGGTTTCGTCGTTCTGAGTTTTTAGCCTGGTTTTCACTCACAAACAAACGTGGTTTTAAATTCACTCACAAACTCGATTGAATTAACATCTAATCTATAATAATGAAATTGCTGCCCAATGTATATAGGCAAAATTAATAATGTACACCATTTTTATCAGGCGGGGTAACGCTTGTCCAATGTATCGTATTCGGGCAGGGGATAACCAAATAACTCGTGGTCTGTTTTATAAGCAGCCAATAGTTGATCAAAGTACTTTCGGGAAAGTTCTTTAAGAAAATTTGCTGTTTTTCGTTTTGTTTTGGTTAGCGCAGCGCTGGTGCGCATCACATGATACTTGGTTTCATTTGCATGTATCTGTTTCATAGCATGGGTCACATCTCGATTGAGATTCTCGATAGAGCCGATGAAGTCATATTTCACCTCACAAGGCCTGCATAGGTCTTTGTATGGTACCCAATGCTCGTTGACCCGCCAAGGCGGATTGTCGATCAAATATCGCACATACTCCGTGAAACTCACATCAAGTCCAGTTACAACTGTTGCTGAATTAGTATTATTATAACGATATTTCTTTATTATCCGTTTTCCTAGAGGTGCCCAAAATTTGATACTCTTCTTATTTTGGAATTTATCTCGGTACCCAGACACGAGTCGTTCGAAAGGATCTCGTACAATCATGAACTTGTAGAAATTTTTTAGCATGTACTCTCCTTGCCTTTTATTGAACTTTTTATTAGACAAACGTACGACTTGTGTATGCACCCAAGGACCATTGACTTCTTCTACACTTGGATACAATCCATCCATAACCGCAAATATACTTTGCATGTTTGTACAGCTAATTTTAGGTATGAAGCAAAAAAGAACTTTGTGTTCTTTGTTCACAAGCAAATGATCAAGCACGTTGCGCCTTTGCCGTGCCCTTTTTCGGTTTTTGCTATGAGCTTGTCGTTCCATGACATTTGTTACGTTATATTTTTGGCACACTTTAATGACCGATTCCCTCTTCCTTTTGCTATCCTTTTCCGCCTGTTAAAAGAGATTTTAATGATATGTTATCATTGTATTTATATCCTTATAGTATTCTGCAGCTATACGCTATTTATATTTATTTATAAAAAACGTAGACGGCGCTTTCCATTAACACGGTCAGACTGGTCAGAACGGTCAAATTGTTGAATTGAACACAAAACAATTGTGCTTTGGACCTATCTGACCGCAAAATTTAGATAACATTAGAATGAGGTCCATTTTCGCTAGATATTTGATCTTTCCATTTTCGCTAGATATTTGATCTTTCCATCTTACAGAAAGTGGCCAGTTCTGTGCAAAATGCAAAAATTTTAATTTTTCTCAGGGAGCTGAAAATGCAGGCCGGCGGTATTGGAAAAAAATTTGCTGAATACGACCAATTTCCTAAATCAAAATCTAAGCGTATCAAAATTTCATGATAATATAAATTGCATAGAGTTAAAATGCTATCATTGCATCCCATGTCTAAAAAAAATTATTTCCCCCGTTGCACATACTATAAAATACAACTATTCAGTTCAATTCAATTTTCAGTATTTCACTATTTACATGATTTTTCTCAAGTGACGTAATATTACAAAAGTAGAAGAAAATAATAAAATTTTTAATGAGTACTTTAGAAAATGATTGTGAACGGCAACCAGAGGAGCCGACGCTTTCGAGCTGGTTGTCGCAATGTTAGAATAAGCCGACATGGCTATACGCGGTACAGAATAATTCATGAACCAAGGTGCTAAAAGCTCCTATAGGCTCAAGATATTTCGAATATAAATATATATAGACAAAATACCAGACAAGTTTACATTAGAAATTAAACTAGTTGATATGCCAGTACTTCCACATGCACAAGGTGTCCGAAGCTGCGGTTGTATAAAATAGACTTTTAAAAAACTTTAGAAAAGCTTAAGGTCTTTATTATCAATTAGATATTTAACAAGACGCCTGCTTAGGCGTTCACACTGGCCTGAAAATGGCAACTTTCGTGGTCAACTTTCGAATATGTTACTGGAGCACTCTATCCTTGGAGTTTGGAATTGTGCGCGTGCGTATAAGTGTATGGGCTAATAAACGAAAAACGTACCACAAGCATGGCATGGGCAGGCTATTACATATTAAATACGAGGTTGTTACTATATTATCTAAATCATGGAACCGAGGGGAATCGATGGCATTTTGGCTTGATCGTTGCACCCTGAGCCTGCGATGAGCTAACGCAAACTCGATTTCTCGACGACGAAAACAGAAAACAGAAAAAGAGGGATTTAAGATACTTGGCCTAAAGGCCAGTGTAATAAGCTTTCGTAGTCAACAACATCATCGGGGATGGAGATGTGTTGTGGTTAGGTGTTATATATACAATTCGAATAATTAAGTTATAAATGTAAAAATGTAAATGTATAGGCAGTTAGAACGATGTGCCGGGCTAATGAGGTGGCCGGACATTTTGCCGAAAGATACTTTACCGAAAGACATTTCGCCGAACGGACGTTTTGCCGACGGTATGATCTGTTGTAGGTCAACCGAATCCGCATCCACAATTTTTCGCGCAGTATCCAGGCCAGCATTGATAAAGAGAGAAGAAAAATTGTTGCAAAATCCCATTCTTACCTCCACGTCTAGAGAACTTTGCGTTGTTGGATGAGTCACAACCTCTTTTTCACTTGACGTTTTGTTAACTACACAAGATCGAAGCAATGCATTAACTTGATAATTATGATAAATTCATTCGAATTTAGCACTCCTAGCCTTTACAAAAGTCCGATTCATTTCGGCCAAATTTTTTCGGGGGGGGGGGATGTTGGAGAGTGGGAGAATTACTGGATTAATGATGCCACGCATAGACATGTCGTCTTGATAATCACAAATTGAGTTTGAAATTCAATCAAAGATGATTCTAAAACAGCTGAAATTGTTGCGGCAGGTGTTTTAAACCTGCGTACCAAGATCAAAGTTAGCCTACCACACACTAAAATAACAATATCAAGCCTAACAATCAGAAAAGGCAAGGTAATAAATAAGATAAAAAATGTTATTTAGTAACAACTAATAACAATCACAATAACAATAACATACTCAAACGTGTTTTCAGCAAAACAAATGGTCTTTTATCGACAATAAAGGATGTAGGCTATAAAAAAAATGTGCCCTCTTTCAAATTCAAATTAGCCATAACTTTTAAATATTCGTTGCTCTGCAGTAAGCTGGCCCATTTTCTATCTTATGCAGACTTGAATGATGCTTAATTTAAACATTTTTCTTTGAGTTGTGTATCTGTTCATGTATACTATTTAAAGCACGCGTAGGAGTGTATTATCAGATATAAAGATACGACACGCTTCTGTATCAGATCGGGTGACAAATCTTTATCCGATTTACAAACATTGATTAAACATTCATTTCTTTTGTATTTTCCTCGTGAATTATTAATGATTATTTAAATACAAATACAGTAGAAGTTATCCTAAATTCCCATGTGCAGAAGATCTTGTGATTTCACGCAATCATTAATTCGAGAAATTGTACGACTATCAAATTACTATACAATACAGTGTGCTAAAAAAAGTGAACCCTTTCAAATTCAAAATAGCTATAACGTATTGTAGTAATTTGGCAGCTCTATAATTGCTTTGAATTAATGGTTGGGTAAGAACCCAAGGTCTTGTACTCATGGGAGAAAACCCTTAATTAAAAACTTTTAAATTTTTATTTCTTTGAGTTTTCTCGCATGAATACAGGACCTTGTGTTCTTACCCAACCATTAATTCAAACCAATTAGGGCTGTTAAATTGCTACAATACGTTATAGCTAATTTGAATTTGAAAGGATTTACTTTTTTTTGAGACACACTATAGATTACGGTTAATTTGAATTTGAAAGGCGAACATTTTTTTAATACACCCTGTAGTGTACAACCCTTTCAAATTCAAATTAGCCATAACTTTTTAATTAAATAAATATTCGTTGCTCTGCAGTAAGCTGGCCCATTTTATATCTTATATATGAAGACTTGAATAATGCTTAATTTAGACATTTTTCTTTGAGTTGTGTATTTGTTCATACAAATACAATAGAAGTTATCCTAAATTCCCATGTGCAGAAGATCTGTGTTTTCACACATTCATTAATTCGAGAAATTAATACAGCTGTCAAATTACTAAAATAGATTACGGTTAATTTGAATTTGAAAGGTGTACATTTTTTTGATATACCCTGTAGTGTAAACATACGCCATACTTATTAAACCTACACTTAAACCGAAGACCTACACTTAAACAGAAGACATGCACTTAAACAGAAGCCCTATACCCTTAAACAGAAGACCTACCCTTAAACAGAAAGGGTATAATTAGTAGCAGTCTGAGTAAGAATTATAACAGCCATCTATACAAATAAGGGAATGCCATCGGATAACGTAATTCCGTGCGCCTGTCCTCTAATAGATCATGGTTCAATGAAAGCGCTTGAATTCTTAACGTCATCAATGAAAGCGCTTGAGTTCTTAACGTTATAATATAATCAACTTTTATACCAACTTTATTTTTATTTTATTATATTATTATAATGAATTGAACTTATTATTGCTTTTTCTGATTTGTTAATAATAACTGATATACAATTATTATTATACCAACATCTTTTTATTAAACGCATGCAGGCGTCCAACCATAATATGATAATTCTCAAAGCCATTTTATAAGTACAAAATCTCTGATAGCATGAGTAAGCTGCAGTATGTACATGTATGTATTATTATTAATAGAACACTACGACTAATTAACCTAAACTTTATACCTCATTTTATGAAAATAACAACATTGAGGACTTACCACAGACTATGATTACACGGTTGAAATCCTGCTCAAACAGTGTCCATTTATTAAAATTATAATACTCAAAACTGACAATGACCAACACGACAAATACACTTGCAATCAATATAATTTCTCTGCATATACGCATTTTGACATATAATGACTCGCTTATAATGCCGAAAACACGTAATGTGATGCCCCAAGGGACAATTTTTAGCCATCGACTTGTCTTGTTCCGTTGAAACGGTCATGTTGTGAGCATTTCAATAGTGAGTTTCGTTTAAGGGGGGGGGGGGGGGG